CTGATAGAAAATATAGCAGAGAGGAAGGCTGCTGCACAGATAATGGCAATTTATAAATATAAGGCTCTAGATCAGGGAGAACCAATGCAGGAAGGCGAGTGTTGAAGATTCACATCATAGGATAAGTCTGGTCTGGTTCAAAGGTAACTTGTGGTGTATGCAAACCAAGGTTAAGTGATGCCTCAAGTAATTGTAAAATATCAAGAGGCATCAAAGGGGGGAATGTGGTGGAATCTTGGTAAAAATAAATTTAGTAGGCCGAGATTACCACGTGGCATGTGTACGTGCATATGCTGACGTATCGATCAGTTGGTTGCACGAGGCAAGATACGATCAGTAGTGTACGGAGCATGTGCAAGAATACAGGATGTAGTATTCCCCTCCTCCATTGTGCTGGACAAGCCATGCGGTCAAGCAGGAAGTTAATTCTTATTTGTAATGATTGGTCAAGAGAATGTGCGGGTGGAGCTTAATATGGGAGGAGTTATGTGCCTATATAGGGAGCCTGCACTATTGTTCAGGGCTCAGAACTTGCTGTATTTTTGGTGACATTAGTCCCTCTGAGTCCCGATCGGTGATCCAATAAAGAATCTCTTCCTTCCTGAAGAAACCTGTGTCCATCTCTCTGTGCTTTGCTTCCGTCAGTTTCTCCGGTATCATAACAAATGCAAAACAGATAACTCAATATAAGGACGGGTGCAGTGTCTCTGAAACACTAAGGGTTTTCACAGGAAAGCAGTTTGCTCTGGAACTATGTGGGTTTGCACAAGAAAGCAGCTTGCTCTAGAACACTGGTGGATTGTACAGTAAATCGGCTTGCTTTGCCATACTGAGGGTTTGCACAAGAAAGCAGGTTGCTCTGGAACACTGGGGGTTTGCACAGGGAATTGGCTTGCTCTGAAATACTCAGGAGAGCAGCTTGATCTGGAACACTGAGGGTAATTCAGGAAAGCAGCTTGCTCTGGAACACCGAGGGTAACTTAGAAAAAGCCGCTTGATCTGGAATACCGAGAGTAACTTAGGAAAGCAGCTTGATCTGGAATGAGGGTAACTTAGGAAAGTAGCTTGATCTGGAACACAGAGGGTAACTCAGGAAAGCAGCTTGATATGGAACACTGCAGGTAACACGGGAAAGCAGCTTGATCTGGAACACCGAGGGTAACTCAGGAACACAGCTTGATCTGGAACAACGAGGGTAACTTAGGAAAGTAGCTTGATCCGGAACACCAAGGGTAACTCAGGAAAGCAGCTTGATCCGGAACACCGAGGGTAACTCAGGAAAGCAGCTTGATCTGGAACACCGAGGGTAAATCAGAAAAGCAGCTTGATCTGGAACACCGAGGGTAACTTAGGAAAGTAGCTTGATCCAGAACACCAAGGGTAACTCAGGAAAACAGCTTGATCTGGAACACCAAGAGTAACTTAGGAAAGCAGCTTGATCTGGAACAACAAGGGTAACTCAGGAAAACAGCTTGATCCGGAACACTGAAGGTAACACAGGAAAACAGCTTGATCTGGAACACCGAGGGTAACTCAGGAAAGCAGCTTAAACTGGAACACTGAGGGTAACACAGGAAAGCAACAAACTCTGGAAGACTCAGAGTAAAACATAAAAGCAGCAAGCTATGGATCACGGATGATAGTGCAGGGACCAGACCTGAAACAATGCTGATAAACTGGCAAACAAGTAGGGGCAAGTCTAACCTAAAAAAGGAGGAGATAATTACAAGATATGCCATGCTGGGAACAGTCACAGATCTTCTGTCTGGGTGCTGCACCAGAGAAATGTAGTGGCACTGTGAGGTACTGCACAAGACTGATGATAGAAAACATAGAATCGTGGTAGAAACAACTCTGTAAATAAATTAGATTAGAAAAAAAGCTAGCTTATTCATTAATCACTGAATGGGGACATAAGACATTACAGTTAACATATTTATATATTTTGCTATTTTTACAATTTTACCACATGGCAGGAGGTTTCATACTTTGCATAATCTCTCTTTACTAGCTCCACAGCAGCAAAGAAACACATAGAAAAAAAAAGACACAAAAGACTAGGACCTAAACACTTCCTCTTTCTTTGCTGCTCCATCAAGCACACAGGTCAGGTTATTACACTTCTCCATTCATTTATGTTTCTATTGCCTCTTCTGAGGTTGTTTCTGTATTATATGTTTTGATATACTTTGCTGTTTGTTCTTGCTGTGCCTCTGTACTATGTGCAGCTGTGTTTTTTCTATGTTATTTATTGTGTTTCTACCGTATTCTTGGATTCTGCCTTCCTTGCTCACACTTCTCTGGGGCTTGAGGGGCTTTTAGGTCCTACATAATGTTAAAGGACCAGTATAGTTCCAGGAAAACATACTCGTTTTCCTGGCACTATAGTGCCCTGAGGGTGCCCCCATCCTCAGGGCCCCCTCTCGCCGGGCTCTAGGGGGTGGAAGGGGTTAAACTTACCTCTTTCTCCAGCGCCGGGCGGGGGACTCTCCTCCTCCTCTCCTCCTCTCCTCCTCCTCGGCTGAATGTGTATGCGTGGCACGAGCCGCGCGCGCATTCATCCAGTCCATAGGAAAGCATTCACAATGCTTTCCTATGGACGCTGGCGTCTTCTCACTGTGAAAATCACAGTGAGAAGCGCTGAAGCGCCTCTAGCGGCTGTCAATGAGACAGCCACTAGAGGCTGGATTAACCCTATTATAAACATAGCAGTTTCTCTGAAACTGCTATGTTTATAGAAAAAAGGGTTAAACCTTGCTGGACCTGGCACCCAGACCACTTCATTAAGCTTGACGGATAGTTGGCGGATCTGGGTGCCAAAACGTTGGGACCCCAGGCACAAGGCATGCTCATTCTTGAGGAAGCTTATTACACACACGTTTATGTTCCCGCTTCCCTCATGAAGACCCAAATCTCCATGAGGAAGGTGTTACGTGGTGAACTCCCTAGGGGGTGTTCTACAGGACTGGTCGACAGTGGTGCTATGTCGCCAACTTTGGCCCATCTGACCCCTGTAACTCGCTATCCCAAACTCTTAGCCGAAGTGGGTGAGAGACAACCTTCTGGTGCCCCATATGATCGGACAGAGGACACTAGATCCCGTTTTCCTCAGGTGAGCATTGCCTGTACTGTCAACAACGTCCACATGAGATACCATCTCTTTTAAGTGGAAAGCATTCACACTTAATAAGGAACCTTCTGCACGTAGACGACTGACTTGCAAAACTGGATATGAAGACACGTCGGTCCTTTTCCACCCCTCTTGCAGACGTTATCTATGTTTCCTGTACCGTGATCAACCTTGGCACTTCACCTGCCTCCTCAGCTCGGATCCTTGGGGCTTCATGTAACTACTGAAACCAGTGATCAATTACATATGGGGACTGCGTTGCATTATTTACCTGGATTATACCATTCTGCTCGTTTCAGAGAATTCAAGATTGCGTCAACATTTGCGATTTTTCATGGTCCGACTGGAATTGTTGTGTTTCGTAGTGGCTGGTCCACTTCTTAGGATTCGTAATCAACTTCATGTCTGGCACCCTGGAGCTTTCCCCTTCAAAGGTCTCCTCTATCCTCAAGGAAATTTGCACGGTCCTCATGGATTGTGAGCTACTGCCCTCCTCCATCCAGACTATCTTCCCAGATCCGCTATGTTACTGACATGCAGCGCTTCCTAGTAAGGCTTCCTCAGGCGAACAACCGGACTTCGTTCTGGAGTCGGATACCAGCTTGTGGTGCTGCGGTGACAACTTGCGAGAGCGCACCCACAGAAAGTGTGTGCACAACTCGGGAATTCTCCCTTCACATTGAATACCTGGAATTATTAGTGGGTTCCTTCACTATCCGCAGACTGGTAAAGGAGTACTCCATTTGTTGCATCCTACTCTGGATGGACAGAACGACGGCAGTCAGGTATATCAATCGCCTAGACAGAGCCAGCTCCCATGTCCTATCAGACATCATAAAAAGGCATCTTCGAAATCTTCCTTCCTCGCAAGGCTATTTCCTGGGGGAGACACATCTCAACACGGATTAGTTCTCCAACCTTCAGAGGTACCACCAGAATTCAGAGTTTTTCAATTTGCTGCCAGGTCCGGAGTGCACAATGGTGGTCGCATTCCTGTCAGCTGGACTTCCCGGGGGGCGTATGCTTTTCCCTCCTTCACAATGATTGCGAGGATTCTGTTTCCTATCTGGGCCAAATGGTTCTTATCTGCTGTCACATTTTATGTTTCTATGTTTCCTACATTCATAACCGACTCTTCTTACGAACTTGAAGGGGAACCCATATCTTCTATTCCTGGAGGGTACGCTGACACTGGTGACCTGTACTCTTTCTGAGGTTCTTGGCAGATCGGCATACTATCGCAGGCTGCTAGGCACCTCTAAGGCCCCAGGGACACGACAATGCTACCTCTCCATCTGGGCATTCCTGGTCTGGTTGGTGTTTGGAATGGAACTTCGATCCATTATGTGGTGAGTTCAGGCAGTTCAACGGCCTGTGTCCTGGTCTGGGGACTCCTGATGGGCAAGATCCTCTTATGTACCAACTACACAGTGACATCCACCTCCGGCTTATGGGATGTGGAAATTGTTCTCAGATTATGTACCAGATGTTCGGGGGTTCGACGTGGATGTTTTTTCTTTATTTCCCAACAGTCTATGTCTCTCGTTGCACTATTTGGATTCTTCATTAGTTTTCTATTCCTTACTCAGTGTTAAAATTGCAAAATATGAAGCCTCCTGTCATGTTGTAAAATTGAAGATTATACTAGTTTAAGTGTACTAATAATCTTAATTTTAGTAATGACAGGAGCCGAGTATTTTCCCACCCTGCTTTGCTATCCCACCCTTTCTGTTAACTTTCCTTATATGTCTCACAGGTCTAAGGTAGGTTGGGCTCTTAATGTTATGTGTTTACATTGATGTTTATATTCCCATTGGCTTAGTATTGCGGACGGCGAACAAACATAAACTTTGACCCTGTACCTCACAGTCAGCAGACACATTCCAGCCAATCATCAGCAGACCCTCCCTCCCAGACCCTCCCACCTCCTGGACAGCTCACTAAGAATGCAGCTTCACAATGAATGTAAAATGGATGCTGTCCAGGAGGTGAGAGGGGCTGGGAGGGAGGGTCTGCTGCTGATTGGCTGGAATGTGTCTGCTGACTGTGAGGTACAGGGTCAAAGTTTACTCAATGATGACATAGAGGGCGGACCGAACAGCGCATATGTTCGATATCCGCGGCAAATCATTCGGCGAATCGTTCGGTACATCACTAGTAGTTATATGTTAAAATGTTTTAAAAAATATAATGAACGCATTTCGACAAATTGAAAAGCCAAGCAATAACTGATAAATGTGAATTGCGCAATGTGGTACTACCAAGAAACTTGAGTGAAATTACATGATTCTGGCAAGTTCTGATATGCACCATGTATGTGTCAAATGCTTTATTCAAAAATAAAGTATTTTTAAAGAAAAATTACGTGAGAAAAATAGTCAGGAATCTGTCATATTTAATGTAATATTCACAGATCACAAACGTATGTAGGCTGCTACACCATATCCACAACTATTAACTTAACACATTGATTAGGGATGAATGTTGAAGTACACACTTTATTATTTAGAACTTTTATTCATAACAACAACATACTACACAGTGCCATATAATACCTTCAACTTTTAAACCCCATTCTTGGGCAGAACCCAACTATTGTAACACCGACATCATGACTGTTGCCATATGAATTTTGTGTAAATCCAAGTTTCTTACTTACTAGATGGCTGTTTTCATATCTACAAAATGTGTGTTCTTTTTGTTTTGTAAAATGTTTGTTTTTTGAGTATTACTAGTACTTTAACTAGAAATCCATTATATTCTGCAGTGCTGTGCATTGTTTATGTAGGTTTGGGGTTAATAATATGTTAGTACATTCCCTAGGATGTGGTTTGTGGCTAGAAAGGGTCAATCAGTTTGCCTGCTGGCTGGCTGGCTGGCTATCAGACGATGTTAATGTAGTTCCTGAAAGTAGAGCTGTAGATTGTGGCTAAACAAATTACATCTGGATAGAGGGAGGACTAGAAAACTGGGGAGGGTGACAGAGGAGGAGGGCTCTGGTACTGCACAGTAAGGGCTCTGCACTACACACAACGATGCAGGTCACTGCAACAACCTCTGACACACAGGGACAACTCTACACAACCACACATCACACTCCATGACATCATATCTCTGCACAAGATCACATTGTCCCTTTATCTCCACATAGCACACATCACACAGAGCAGCACTGGATAGCTGCAAAGCAAGCAACAGATACAGCAACTACAGGCTATAGGCAGAAGTTCTTCCTGTGGACTTTGAAAGTAAAGTTTAGTACGGTAAGTGTGTGGGGAGCAGAGAGGAAGAGAGGGGGAGAATCTGTTCAGCGATTCAAAAGGCAACGTTTTTCTAAACTAGAGCATTAAATAAACTTCTAGTAAATTATTTCATCGTCCTATACAGCATTCCCTTTTGAAGGCTTTAAACACTTTCTATCTGATTAACCTCTTCATCGGCAGCACAGGAACCAGGATTACTCTTCATGCAAACCTTGTCTGTATTGTAAAATGATGTGTTAAAATGTAACACAGCTTTATCTGCATTTTTTGTATTGCAAGTTATGTGCATGCAATTACCAGCGACAGATGTAACCTAAGTAGTATTCAGCCATGGGATACAAAATATGATTTCTTTAATTAGTTGATTATATGTGTGTGAGCCATCACTTTGTGTGATCAGTACAATGTTTATTAATATAAGGCCAAAGGATCCAAAACTGAAAATACATTTTAAACAAAATTTCTGCAAGGCCTTTGCCAGTTCTATACATTTCCTGTTCTATTAACTAATTCCCCCACCCCTTATAGTTAGGAATAAGTTGTCACTTTGCAAACAATGGTAACAAAATCTATAGTTTTCTAAATCTATTCTATCAAGATGCTAGTTTAAGTATACATGCATTATTTGTGCTTCACGAATATTTTGTGCATTCTGTCCTGCTTGTATTCTGTAATTTGGTGTGTGCTGTGATCTTGGAGGACACAATGCTTTGAATTTAGCTTTGGAATTATTGGAAACATCACACTTCAAATGTGTTCAATTACTAAGAGCTATATTGTATTTTAAAGGAACACTATATGTTAGGAATACAAACTTATATTCCTAACACTATGGTGCCTGCAACTCTAGTCCTATAGAGCCCATCCCCCTCATTTTAAAATAAAAATTAAGAAACTGAAGAATTGCTCACCTTTTTCCAGGTGAGTTGTTTGCTTCCTCGGAGCCGCACACCTCTACGTTGTGTGACCTCCTCAAGCATTGGTCTGAATTGGGGATGCGAATCCAAGCTTTGTCATAGGAAAGCATTGTTATTCAATGGTTTCCTATGAGCTTACCAAGTTTTACTTTATGTTAGTTTTGCAGGAAGACGGCAATAAGAGGTAGATTTAAACTTGCAATGTAAACATTGCACTTTCTATAAAATTGCAATGTTTTACATTGCAGGGTTAAAAGGACAGCGCCACTTCATTGACATGAAGCCGTCTGGGTGACTTTAGTGTCCCTTTAAGGATTTTGGGTGTATTTAGTAATACACATAATTGTGAAATATACTTGGCAGGTAACTTTAGTGGTTATTTATGAAAATCATTTCTAGGGCAAAGTTCTAAATTGGCAGCAAAAGCCATGAATACCAATGTAATGTTCCTATTCACTGATGCACTTTACCAACTTTACTCCAAAATGTCTCTTTATACATAAGCTCCATAGTTTCCAATTGTTATTTTTGTTTTCTATACACATCATAATTCCTCTCTGCATCATTTTTTTCTCTCTCTCCACTCACACTGTTGCTACATTGGGAAGCAAATGCCATATAAAGGCTTACTTTTTATATGTGTGCTATGTATGGGGCTTTGTGTACATGGTTGCACTTGGATTTTGCTGTGTAGCCATTGGCATTGGAGTGTTTTCCAGCACCTGGCCACTGGCAGTTAGCAGCTGTGTTGTGCCAAGAAGAGAAAAACTGGGACCCTCCCAGCTGTCAATGTATTGGACTCAACATATGTCCACCCAAAATGTTCAGACAGCTGCAGAGAGTGAAAGGACTTTGTTGTTGTCGCTCAATACAGAACCTGCTAAACACGTTTATTTTTATTAACACAACATAGTGTGTTTCTTTAATCACATTAAAACAAAGATTGCACATTAAAAAAAAAAAACCTAAAGAAGTCAGCATCTACCACCATTGGGTAACATGCAGAACCATAGACCCATGTAATCAAAACAATAGCTACATTACTACATTACAAAAAGTAAGGTGACTGCAAAGAGGAGGTGTGTGTAGTTGATATATATATATATATATATATATATAAAAATCTCTAACTGTCAATATATGGACATATTTTCCTGCCAACCCTGATCCATAAAGCAAAAGGTGCTCATAACATTATTGATTTTATACTAATCAGTATGTTGATGTATAAACACTTGTCTTATGAACTTTGGTCTATTATAATTTGTGGAACTTGAACTTTAAATTGTGGGCATACATTATCCAGTGTGATATATGCAGTCCATATGAGTATATTATCATTATCATTGTGTAATCAGCAATAAGGGTACCCTGTTACTGTCAACACAATAATATACTTTAGTCCACAAAGGGGCTAATGTGTTTTGTCTTTGAAACTCCAGAAATCTAGATTATGTGCAGCACAGTCAAGATTGTGTTTATTGATTGATTCAATTTTAGATTGCATCTACATTACCTATATAGTGGAGAATTATGGAACATATAGTCAAACAACAGCTTCAGGAAATTAGCCGTTTGCTCATGCTTTATACATTTATGTCATAGACTCTGGTGTTTAATTGACAGTTGTTATAATTCTAGATATGTGCCTTTGATATCTGCATGCTTCACTTATGTTAAAGGGACACTCCAAATCCCTAAAGGACTTTAGCTAGATGAAGTGCTTTAAGGGTTAACAGCATGCCCTGTTTGTCTAACTTTCTAAAAGTGCCAATCTCAAGAGAAATTAAAATTTTTATAAAACCCCAAAACTTGCCTTCCTCATGTACTTTAGACGCTCGCCCAAAGCAGACATGAGGGCTCATAATAGAGAAGCATTGCAAATGGATTGAGATGTCCCTGTGCCCTTTGTTTATGAGAAGCATTGGATTGGCTGGGAGCTCATCACCAGTGATGATCTTCTATAGGTGGAACAGAATCCTAAATCGAAAACAAGAACATTCAATTTCTAGGAATCAATGCATACATTAATGTGTTCCTTTAATGTGTTTTAATGCAATATTGTTTACTAAACAATGCAAACTAGAGTGTATAAACTGAAACAGTGATATGAATGGAGCATCTCATCCTGGTGTGGAACAGGCCCATTATATGTAGTGCATGGCGCAAACACTTAACAAGACATGCATTTTTATTTACTTACGGCCTTTTTAAAGCATTATCTATTTGATGCATGAATTTTTTTTTACATTTTAGCTAGACTGACCTTTTAAATTAATCTCTAAATTAATCTCATCCATCTATCCATCCTTCCAACCTGTCTGTTTCTTCGTCTCAAATATCCTATAAGTCATCATTTTTTTTTATAGTTGCTTTGTATGTGATTGGGTGGTTTTTCTATTGGCTTTTGAGGAGATTTCCTGCATAAGAAAATAGATTTTGAATATCGATGGCAGTGCTTGATCAAATCTGCTTTTTACATTTCTGTTTTTGTAATTGCTAAACAAAGAAGTCTGTTTATTGAAAACTGAGTTGACGTGAGCTGACAACTGACTTTTAAAATGTAGGTTAAAGCAGCTTATTTTTTAAAACAAAAACTTACTATATATATATATATATATATATATCCACAAATAACTGCTTAGTTAATAAAACCCTTAGCACTGTTATAGTAATGTATAGTTACAGGCTCTGTCAGATTTCTTTTTGAATATCTACAGAGGTTGGTGAAAACAACATGTCTTTGAGTTTAGTTGAATGTCTGCAACTAACGGACTGTGAAGCAGTTTCAGGAAATGCTGAATATGTTATGACTATGAGGTAATGTAGACATACTGGCAGAGCTGTTTGCAAAATGTAGGACAAAATATCTAATTAGCAAAAAAAATAAAAATAGAATGAATAAAAAATATGACACAGCCAGATTGGTTATCAACTCACTGTAATTCACTGTTTAATGAACCTTGTGTTTTGATTTCTGGATTTCTGTTGGCCTGTACATACGGTCACTGCTTGCAGAAACAAAGGTACTGTTCAGTAAGCTTCATGTTGCCCTGAGCTAATGGCAGAGTTGATAAATGATAGGTTAAAATCATAAAATTGATCAAGTTGCTTACTAGCTAGAAAGGATTTGGAGAAACTACTGTTGGACTCTATAAGTCAACTCAGTAGGATCCCTTTGCAAGTTGTATCCTCATGAGTTAAAAATGAAACATACATATGGAAAAGCTAAACCCATCTGCTACAGATTTTTGCTGCTGAGTACACCAGAAAAACAGTGCTCAACAAAATCGATTTGTGCTCTGGTCATTAGCATTTAATTGGAGTCTTTTGTTGACTAGGGAATCTCAAGAGTTATATCTGTAGAGTTCTGTCGACTGAGAATCTGCCTAGGTCTGCTGACCTACAGTTTAAGTGAGATGCTTTTGGTGGACTTGCTAAGTTAGGAATAGGCAACCTTTGGCACTCCAGATGTTGTAGACCTCATCTCCCCTGATGCTTTGAAACATTAAAGGACCACTATAGTGCCAGGAAAACATACTCGTTTTCCTGGCACTATAGTGCCCTGAGGGTGCCCCCACCCTCAGGGACCCCCTCCCGCCCGGCTCTGGAAAGGGGAAAAGGGGTAAAACTTACCTTTTTTCCAGCGCTGGAGAGCTCTCCCTCCCTCTCGCCTCCCGATCTCCCCCGTTGAATGATCACGGCAAGAGCTGCAGCATTCGTCAAGATAGGAAAGCATTTACAATGCTTTCCTATGGGCTATGCGTTCTCACTGTGAAAATCACGGTGAGAAACTAGCGCGCCTCTAGTGGCTGTCAATGAGACAGCCACTAGAGGATTAGAGAAGCTTAACCATTCATAATATAGCAGTTTCTCTGAAACTGCTATAATTATGAAAAAATGGGTTAAGCCTAGAAGGACCTGGCACCCAGACCACTTCATTAAGCTGAAGTGGTCTGGGTGCCTAGAGTGGTCCTTTAAGTAAGATGTAGTCCCAACATCTGGAGTGTCGAAGGTTGCCTACCCTTGCTAGGGTAATACTGGGAATACATGCCTCATATTGAACCATGCACAGATCCTCCACTTCTTTGAATAAATGGCAGGCCTGCTGCTTATGTTTCCTATGTATGCATGCATACATAAGAATATGAGAGTGTATATGTGCATATAGATTGGGTGTGAATACATGTATAAAGGTAAGTGTGTGCATATATGCATGTGTGATGGTGTGTGTATGCATGCATCACTTCTCAATTCTTTGCCATTTAGACGTTAATGCACTTTTGTTTCTGTTTATGCAACCCCTTGCCTTCTCCTTCTGGAGATGTGACAGTTTCCCTTTTGCAGTGTTTATTGGGCTAAATAAAGCAGCGGAGGAAAGCAAAAAACTTACTTACGTGTGCTGAACTTCATAATTAAAACTTTAAGTCCTATCAATAACTAACATTTATGTAGCTGTTTGACTGTGCTCAAAGTTAGAACACATGGAATATATGAGCGGCTTGGAAAATATTAAATTAGCTCAGTGCTCTCTGTATGTTTCCGTCTCACATAAAGTGAGAGGTACTCAACATGAAATGTAAAAAGTTATACATAATTTGCAAACTTCAGTAAATTATGAATGATAACATTGTGGTGGGGGGGATGTGAAAAATTACATTGGAAAGTTGTAAAATTAGTGTATTAAAGGTTCTTTCAAAGAACCTTGAGCACCTGTGCAACAATTTGTAAAAATGACTACAACTACTAGACTGCCGCCTGGATCAGTGATGTCAAGGAAGGATTTTTTTTCATTCTTTGCCGCCCTTGATCCGCACAAGTTTTGCATGCAGCGTCCACGGGCTGGAAAGCTGCTGCCTCACACATTTCTTTCTCCACAGAGCCATGGCTGTAAGCATCAGATATTGACAGCTATAGAGATATCTGCAGGTAAATATTGTCAGGCTCCCGCGGACGGCTGCGAGGGGAGGCTGCACTCCGCTCGCAGTACTCACCCTCCAGCCGTCCGCGGTCCCCTCCGCCTCGTGGGTACGGCGAGCGGCATCCTTCCAGCCTCGGATGCCGCCCGCCGTTCCCTCCACGTCCCCCAGCGGCAGCATGCATGACGCTGCACGCTGGGAGACCGCCCAGGGTTATACACGCCGGGGTCAGTCACCTGACCCGGCGTTAAAGGCAAAGTGCCACAATCACAGTGGGAGGTCTAAATATCTCCCACGTGTGATTGTTAATTCTGATTGGAAATCATCCAATCAGAATTAACCTGATGGTTTAAATACTTACCTTTCCTGTTCCTCCTTGCCCTGTTGTGGTCTTTGCTTGTTAGTATTGATTCTGAACTTGTGCTTCTGGTTACGTACTCTCTGGCTTGTTATCCGACTTTGTGACTTTCTCCTACCCTTTGACCTCGGCTTGTTTCACGTTATTCTGTCTTCTGGTTCCCCTTACTCGGCTTGTTTCCTGACTATTCTTTGTGTGCTTAGCCCGGCCACTCTAAGGTCCGGTACGGCACTTTGTGTGTGTGTGTGTGTTGGCGTGTTTGGTTCCCCGAATCGTGACATTACAACAGGGCCATAATGGAACCTGCTGACATACCACAGCTCCTAGTTAATCAAGAGGCTAGAATGGATGGCTTAGACCACCGTATGGATCAGTTTGCTCAAGCTTTACAAACCATTCTGGCTCGTACTGCACACTTGCAACCGGCCGTTCAGGAGGCTGCTGCTGCTGTGCCCGAACCCATTCCCACTCCAGTACCTGTTCCCGCTCATGTAGTTCACATGACGCCGCCACAGCGCTACAGTGGTGACCCAGCATTGTGTCGTGGTTTCCTCAACCAAATCGACATCCATTTGGTGATGAATCCACGCTCCTATCCCACTGACAGATCTAAAGTTGCCTTTTTGATAAACCACTTGTCCGGGAGAGCTTTAGCATGGGCCAACCCCATTTGGGAAAATACGTCTCCTATGTCCTTTGCTGATTTTCTGACAGCTTTCAGACGCACGTTTGATCAACCCGGTAGGGTTGCTTCTGCTGGCAAGGCTCTGCTTAGGGTCCGACAGGGTAACAGGTCTGTAGCAGATTACACTATCGAATTTCGTACTCTAGCAGCTGAAGTGGTTTGGAATAATGACGCCCTCGTAACAGCCTTTCAGGAGGGTCTGGCCGCTTATATACTGGATGAAATAGCATCCAGGGAATTACCTGCTCTTCTAGATGATGTTATAGACTATGTGATTCTTATAGATAACCGTATTAGAGAGAGGCGTAGCCAAAGACGGTTGGATACACGGGTGTTACCTGCTCTACCCAGTACTTCCCTGCTAGCGTTACCCGCTCCTGTGCAGCCATCCCCTGAACCCATGCAGTTGGGTGCTACAGGGTTAACTGAGGCCGAAAGAGCGTACCGTAGAAGGGAGGGGTTATGCCTTTATTGTGGGAAGAGGGGGCATCACTGTAAAGCCTGCCCTAAACTACAGGGAAACTGCAGCACCTAAGGCCTAGAGAGGGGTCGGCCTCGGGTGTTATGACTTTGTCCCCTCATATGTCCATCTCTAGACCGTTTATTACGGTTTCTCTCTTGGTCAATAAAACCACTATAACAACCAAAGCCCTGATCGATTCAGGTGCGGCAGACAACCTTATGGATGAGACCTTTGCCAAAACCGCAGCCCTGAATTTGATTCGAAAGGAGACACCCTTGGCCGTTGAGGCCATAGATGGTAGACCACTGGAGAAACCTCTGGTGACCCATGAAACCCAGGAAATAGTTATGTCTGTGGGTGTTTTGCACAAAGAGAAGTTAACCTTCCAAATAATTAACTCCCCAACAGCCTCCATCGTTCTAGGTTTTCCCTGGTTAGTTAAACACAACCCTGTTCTTGATTGGGGTTGTTTAGACATACTTTCCTGGGGGGAATCTTGTCAGCGAGACTGTGTGGCTCATGTACGTCCTGTCTGTTTACTTAACGTACCCACGGCTAAACCACTCTCGGTTTCTGTGCCCTCTGTTTATGCGGATCTTGCCTTGGTTTTTGAGAAGAGGGAGGCAGATAAGCTACCTCCACATCGTGAGTATGATTGTGCTATAAACCTCTTACCGGGCACTATGCCTCCTAGGGGAAAGGTCTACCCTCTTTCTGAAAAAGAGAACCAAATCATGGAGGAGTACATACAGGAATCCCTAAGAAAAGGTTTTATTAGAAGGTCCTCCTCTCCTGCTGGTGCTGGTTTCTTTTTTGTGGCTAAGAAGGAGGGTGATTTGAGGCCATGTATAGACTACAGGGGTCTGAACAATATAACGGTTAAAAACGCCTACCCTATCCCCCTCATCACTGAGTTGTTTGATCGTGTTAAAGGTTCTAAATTTTTCACCAAATTAGACCTCAGGGGGGCTTATAACCTTGTCCGTATAAAGGAGAATGACGAGTGGAAGACAGCCTTCAACACACGCAGTGGGCATTACGAATATCTGGTCATGCCTTTTGGATTGTGTAATGCTCCTGCCGTGTTTCAGGACCTCATAAATGATGTCCTTAGGGATCTATTGCATGTCTGTGCTGTAGTATACCTTGACGACATACTTGTGTATTCTCCTGATTTGAAGTCACACCATAACCATGTTAGGATGGTGCTCAAAAGGCTATTGCAGAACGGACTCTACTGTAAGTTAGAAAAATGTTTATTCGATCAGACCTCTGTGCAATTCCTAGGATATATCATTACTGAACAGGGTTTCAGTATGGATCCTGCTAAATTGGAAGCTATAATGTCCTGGCCACTTCCCCAAGGACTAAAGGCTATCCAGCGTTTTATAGGATTTGCCAACTATTATAGGAAATTTATAAAAAACTTTTCACCACTCATATCTCCCATAACGAAGTTGACAAAAAAAGGTCTACATCCTAGGGTTTGGACTCCTGAAGCCCTTAAGGCCTTCGAAACCCTCAAGAAGGCATTTGCCTCTGCTCCAGTGCTGCACCACCCTGATCCTTCTCTTCCCTTTGTTATGGAAGTAGACGCCTCAGAGTCAGGTGTGGGAGCCGTACTGTCACAGAGGTTGTCTTATGACAAACCCCTCCATCCCTGTTGTTATTTTTCTAAAAGGTTGTCTGATTCAGAGAAGAATTATGATGTTGGGAATAGGGAACTATTAGCTATTGTGTTAGCTTTCAAGGAATGGAGGTACTTATTAGAGGGTTCTAGACACAAAATTATGGTTATAACAGATCATAAGAATCTATCCTATATTGCTGATGCTAGAAGGTTATCTGCCCGGCAGGCTAGATGGTCTCTATTTCTCTCACGCTTCCAATATGTTATCACCTATAGACCTGGTTGCCGTAATGCCAAGGCTGACGCCATCTCTCGGCAGCATGAACCAGTAGAATTTGTTAACCCGACTCCTGAACCTATTGTACCTGAGTCTCAGATAATAGCTGCTACCCGTTTGGTTGTTTCTTCACCTTTCCTTACCAGTATTAAGACATACCAAACCCAGGCACCCCCTGAGACGCCGGTTGGTAAACTATACGTTGAAGCTAATGACAGAAAAAAGTTGTTAACTTTATTTCACACAGCCAAAACTGCTGGTCATCCGGGGGTTACCAAAACCTACAAGGGCCTCCTTCAACAGTTCTGGTGGCCTTCACTCAAGCGAGACGTAGTGGATTTTGTTCAGGCTTGTCAGGTCTGCACGCAATGTAAGTCCCTTAATATGAGACCCCAGGGTTTTCTGATGCCTCTATCTATACCCAAGAAACCATGGACCCACTTATCCATGGATTTCATTGTAGATCTGCCTCTTTCTGATGGTCAGACGGTGATACTGACTGTGACGGATAGGTTCTCTAAAATGGCGCACTTCATTCCGCTTAAGAAACTGCCTTCTGCGGTTCAGTTAGCTCAGGTATTTGCCAAAGAAGTGTTCCGATTGCATGGGGTACCCCAGGATATCGTATCTGACAGGGGCCCTCAATTTGTCTCTCGGTTCTGGAGGGGCTTTTGTGCTGAGATGGGGGTATCCTTGTCGTTTTCTTCCTCCTATCACCCGCAATCTAATGGTGCGGCCGAACGTGCTAATCAGTCTGTGGAATTGTATTTGCGCTGCTTCACTAATGCGCACCAGGATGACTGGTCTCGCCTTCTTCCGTGGGCTGAATTTGCCAGGAATACGGTGTCTCATTCGTCTACTGGCTTAAGTCCTTTTGAGGTTGCTTATGGGTTTCGTCCTTCTGTCCTTCCCGGTGCGTTCTCCGACAAGGGAATGCCCGCCTTGGACCAGCACCTCGCCTCTTTGCGGAAGACGTGGGATCAGGTCCATGTTGCGCTGTCTCGTTCAGCAGCTGCTCAGAAAAAGTTTGCTGATCGCCGTAGGGTTGCGGCCCCTTCCTATGTTCCGGGTGATAGGGTATGGTTGTCCTCCCGGAACCTCCGTCTCAAGGTTCCCTCGATGAAATTTGCCCCCAGGTTTCTTGGTCCCTTCAAGGTGTTACGTAGGGTTAATCCCGTTTCCTACTCCCTTGATTTGCCTCCTTCCATGCATGTCCCGAACACGTTTCACGTCTCGCTTTTGAAACCCTTGCTGTGTAACCGGTTCTCTCGTCCCCTCGGGCGGCCCGTTTCCCCTCGAGCTGTCTCTGACGACGTGTACGAGGTGGCTACCCTTCTCGACTCTCGTGTTTCTAGGGGTCGGCTGCAATATTTGGTGGACTGGAAGGGGTACGGCCCTGAGGAGCGGTCCTGGGTTTCAAGCTCCGATGTGCACGCTCCCTCTTTGGTCCGCTCCTTTCATGCCCGCTTTCCTTTGAAGCCTTCCGCTTCCCACCCCCTGGGTGGTCTTCGAGGGGGGGGTAATGTCAGGCTCCCGCGGACGGCTGCGAGGGGAGGCTGCACTCCGCTCGCAGTACTCACCCTCCAGCCGTCCGCGGTCCCCTCCGCCTCGTGGGTACGGCGAGCGGCATCCTTCCAGCCTCGGATGCCGCCCGCCGTTCCCTCCACGTCCCCCAGCGGCAGCATGCATGACGCTGCACGCTGGGAGACCGCCCAGGTTTATACACGCCGGGGTCAGTCACCTGACCCGGCGTTAAAGGCAAAGTGCCACAATCACAGTGGGAGGTCTAAATATCTCCCACGTGTGATTGTTAATTCTGATTGGAAATCATCCAATCAGAATTAACCTGATGGTTTAAATACTTACCTTTCCTGTTCCTCCTTGCCCTGTTGTGGTCTTTGCTTGTTAGTATTGATTCTGAACTTGTGCTTCTGGTTACGTACTCTCTGGCTTGTTATCCGACTTTGTGACTTTCTCCTACCCTTTGACCTCGGCTTGTTTCACGTTATTCTGTCTTCTGGTTCCCCTTACTCGGCTTGTTTCCTGACTATTCTTTGTGTGCTTAGCCCGGCCACTCTAAGGTCCGGTACGGCACTTTGTGTGTGTGTGTGTGTTGGCGTGTTTGGTTCCCCGAATCGTGACAAATATATCCTCAATACTGTGTGAGCCCCGTATCCTGTGAAGAGTGGAAGTATTACTGGAACTAAACTACATATACAATTAGCCCCTATTTAGCAGAGCTTATGGTATCAGAAAAAAAATTATATTAGCGTGAGAGACTCCTAATTGGTGGAGCCTCTTCTTGGTTACGAAGGAATCTGGCAGCTGCTCCTGCTTACACTGTATCAAACAGCAAAGCAACAGTGGCTCAATTCCACAAAGCTACAGAAACAAAACCACTTCGTTTCCACTAAGCACTACCATGGTTACTTCTTCAAATGTCATAGCATGCTTTTTCAGATGTTTGACATCACAGTCAATCATCTCCTCATTCCCTTTACATGTTACCAGTTACTGCAATTGTACTATTAATTCTCTCTGTCATCACCTCCAAATTCTCCCTTTTACCTCTTCTCTCTTCTCCACATTTTAACCTTTAGATTGTAAGCTCATGGGCTATATAGCAAAGTACTATGTATAAAAGGGGCTAGATCTCCGTACATAGGCAGGGCCCACTTTATATTGTGTATTGGTCTGTATATATTGTACTGTCTTTTTCCTAATTGTATAGCACTGCAGAATATGTTGCCTTATAAATGCAAGTAATATATATATATATATACATATGTATATGTATATATATATATATATATATATATATATATCAAATTTGTAGTTAAATTTTTTTTGCATTCATTGCATAGGGGAGGGCAAGGGGGTTGACCTTTAGGGTGTTCCTTTGATTGGTATATTTAGACAGATAGAACAAAAGGTCACATCTGAAACAGACTGACTGGATCATCAAAGAAAATGTCAGTACTATGTAGTCAGTACGAAGTACTATGCATCCTTTAGGTGCATACAATTATAGCTTTATATTGAAGACACTATGAGGTTTGTTCAGTAAACAAAGAACTGACAAGGGAATTGCACAAAAAATAACTTCTAAATTCGCCAACTCTTATTACCGTTTCACTTCTCCACAATTGCCTTTTTATTGAATAAATCCCACTGTTCTTGTGAAGGGGGATCATACTCTCTAACTCATTTACCGGTATGACTAGGAATTAAATCCCAGATTTGTCCACAGTTCTGTTATGTCATCAGTGCTTTAAAAATGGAAATACTTTGTTGTATACTTTAGCATATCTGAATAAAATTTTGGTAGACAAATTTAACGGGAGTTAGGGGACTGGACTGTGGGATAAATCAATTTTTTATTTATTTATTAATATAATTTTTTGATCATTTTGTCTCCAGAATTCAGTGTGCACGCACCAGGGCTATGAAGATTAAGTATTGATTGATGAGATACAAGTATTGATGTTTATATATAAGAGTGGGTATACTATAGGGATTGACTAGATATAAATTGATTCTTATACTCTGCCACAGTCAGCCTCCAACATTTTGGTCTTACTCCTAGAAAGACATTAAGTTTGTTAACCCTGGGTCCAGCCATAGAATTATTGGTATTATGCTCATGTGACACACAGTAGAAGAACTCCTAGAATCTAACCTGCTTTGGGACAATCTGGGCTACTTACACTGAGGAAATAAACCATTCTTCTCCATGGTTAAAAAAGGTGAATGATAGGTTAATTGAAGTAAAGTGCCAACAAATAACATCATAGAGCTGGGTTAAAAGCAAAACATTGCTTACATAATACTGCATTGATGCTTTTTATAGCTCCTTATTTTTAAAGAGTTCTTGTTGACAGCTAAATGTGTTTATATTTATTTTAATTGATATTACACTTAGCTGGCTCTATACATTAGGGTGGGTCACAAAAAAACATCCATCTGTTACTGTATCACCTCACTTTTCACATAGTATATAGCTGCAGGATTGTATTTAGAATTGGCGATCAACAAAGCAATAGTAGTTGTAAATGCTCCTTCCTCTATATTGTGATGACATTGCTATTAATCATAGCCACATAGTATTCTAAGCACAAGTGGTCTTAACTGGTACCAGAATAGTGGATACAATATATAACAATGATAAGCTATCACCTGATCAGATGTGTGTGAACTTCCGAGGTGGGGGAGCAGCATGGCTGATGGGGAGTGTCTGTGAATGTCTTGCATTTAGGAAGGAAGTTACATGGATGTATTTTAGGCCACGCAGGAAATCAGGTCACTGATGGGGGATGTGAGAGAGCAACACAGATGCAGAGTTATAACTATTAGTCAGTCTACAAGCAAATGTTTGATGGTTGATAAGAATTTCCTCCATAATTTCCAGTCAGCCATTTTTTCCATTTGTGGAAAAAACCCGCTCTTAATCCAAATATAGTGCTCTTTATTCTGTCATCACTTTGCAGTTTACTAATGTTGCAGGTGAATTAGAAAGTAATGTCAAAAGTGAAATGGATTACCACATACAGAGTGGAAACAAAGCAACACACCACAGGCACCAAAACAAATTCATATCAATGAAGTTGATATGGTACCAGGAGGCCCCTGGAGACATGCTTACCTTAAGGGGTTAAACCATTTTCCAGCAGTGATGTCCACTCCCTGCAGGCGGCATTCAGCTTCAAAATTTTCATGTTAAGGAAGTGTGGAGTGCCACCGGGCAGGGGAGCTGCTTATTGGCTGAGAGCATCCAGCTGACACTCTCAGCCAATCAGTGACACTCCATTCACTAAACTGGCTTGAAAAAGGTACATTTGTTTCCAAGCCAGTTTTGTGAATGAAGAGTCACTGATTGGCTAAGAGCGTCAGCTGACCACTCTCGGCCAATCAGCGGAGTGCCTGCCCAGTGACACTCTGCGCTTCCTGTATCTGAAAATTCTGAAGCAGAATGATGCCTGGGGGGAGTTCACATAACTGCTGGAGGCAACTTTGGGGTTATACCATTTGAGAACGGTTTAAACTCTTGAGGTAAGCATGTCTCCAGGGATCTTGTGGCACCATAACAACTTCATTTAGATGAAGTTGTTTCAGTGTCTGGAGTGCCCCTTTAACTAAAGTGTGATTTTTATGGATTGTAAAGTGAATTTAAAGTGTATAGAAAATTGTAGGCCAAATTACCTAACTCAGGAAAATTCTCCACGTCAGCTGTTTTCAATGGCAAACACACAAAATGAGCCTGCATTTAATCTCCCACTGCTCCTGGGCAGCAGCAATATCTATAGAGCAGAATCCTAGCAATTCAATATTACATATATATTGATACGCAGAGTCTGTACTATTTATATCGCTGATCCCTGATTCTTGGTCTGCCATATCTTACTGATCTATCCTGTTCCTGACAAAAGGCATTTCAATCTTTTGCAACTAAACAGTATAATTGACTGATTTTGTGTTCATTAAAATGCATTCAAGTTACAAAAGTAAATCCCCTTACAATATAAATAAACTGTTAAAATGTAATATATAAATGTAATATTAATATTAATATTAATATTAATATTAATATGTCTTGACATTTTATCACTAAACAAGTCACCATGAGAAAACAGTAATAAAGCAAGGATTTCTTGTCCTGCTTCAATAGTGTAGACATAGCAATTCAAATGACCTTGAAAACTTGAACCAGTGGCATGAAAAACTTAAATGACTAATTTTCTGACTGTACTACCCTATGCCAAGTTTATTTGTGGAATGAAACCTGATTGGGGTGTAAACATTTTATTGTAATACACTTGCACTTTTGTAGAATTGCATGTAGAATGTGTCACTCACTGTTCTGTGTTTTTGTACTCGTGTTTATTTGGTGGAATTGGGTGATTGATTCCTCTTGAGGGATTGGTAGCACCTTATTAGTGCCATTGTAGGTTGCACATTTTTTTCCAAATTACATGAAAAACTATAAAATAACAAAAAGAAAAGCCACTTGTCTAAGAGGGATCGGCTGATGCTCTCAGCCAATGAGCAAAGTCCAGGGCTTAGCTCTTAAGTTATAATGTAAGTTCTTGCTTAGGAACTTCTGGTTCTCCAGTGTTGGCAGTGGAGATAGGGAGCAGTGCACGGCAGATCCCAGGTAAGAACTCAAACCGTTAAAAAAATGGTTTTACTCCTTACAATTAGGGGGGAGCAAGCTGTAGCGGTTATGGTGCACGGAGTGTTCTTTTTAAACAAGAAAAACTATTGACAATGATTTCCTATGGGGAAGGCCTAATGCGCTTGCGGCACTCACCATGCATGCGCATTAGGTCCCCCTGTCAAATTATAATTATGTCAGAGGAGGTGGAGCACCGAGGGAGATCGGTGCTGGGATCAGGTAAGTAAAAAATAGATTTTTTAACCTTTATGTACTGCAAGGGGGGGCCGAAGGGAGGGGAGACCAGAGGGCACTATCATGTTAGGACTACAACTTTGTTGTACTGAAATAGCTCTCCATACAGTGGCATACACATGTCACATGGGGCCCTGGTGCGAAAAGTGATCCGTGAGCCCCCCCCGCGCTTACTCTGCGCGGGCTGGGGCCGCAACACATGGAGGCAGGCACCTGGTCGCAGGGGTTGCAGGGCTGCGACCCCTGTGACCGTGGTATGTACGCCAGTGCATGCAGATGCACACACACTTAGGACCACTACAGACACCCAGATCACATCAGCTAAATGAAGTGGTCTGGGTGCCAGGTCCCTCTAGTTTTAACCCTGCAGCTGAAAACATAGCAGTTTCAGAGAAACTACTATGTTTCACTGAGGGTTAATCCAGCCTCTAGTGGCTGTCTGACTGACAGCCGCTAGAGGCGCTTCCTCAATTCTCACTGTGAAAATCACTGTGAGAAGACGCTGGACGTCCATAGGAAAGCATTGAGTAATGGGCGGTTTGAATGCGCGCGTGGCTCTTGCCGCACATGCGCATTCGGAGCTGAGAGCCGGTTTGGGGCGGAGGGATCCCCAGTGCCAAGGGAGTCCAGCGCTGGAGAAAGGTAAGTGTTGAAGGGGTTTTAAACACACACACTCTCACAAACAGACGCATACACATTAGCTAACAGACACACACATTTACTGACAGAGACACACTCAGCGACATACATACATACTCACTGACAGACAGACACACATACACACTCACTTACAAAACATACACACTAACTAACAGACATCAAACAGACTCACTAACAGACACACACAAACACACTCAGTAACAGACACACACAGTAACACTCACTGACACACACACACTCACTGACACACAAACTAACACACACACTGACACTAGCAGACACACACGCAATAACAGACACACAAAAACTAACACACTCACTGACACTCACTAGCAGACACAGACTAACACTAACACACATACACATTTTTTTTTTTTTTAAATGTAATCCCCCAGCCTCCTTACCTTTGGGAGAGCTGAGGGGATTCCCTGGGGTCCAGTGGTGTTGCTGGGCGGCCGGTCACCGGGTGGGCTGTCTGTCTGTTTGGCGGGCGTGCGAGGGAGCACTCTCCCCTGAACGCTCTCTGCCCAGCTCCCTTGCGCGCAGCTTACTGATGCCGGAGCTGGAATATGACGTCATATTCCGGCTCCGGCATCAGTAGGCAGCTCGCGAGGGAGCTGGGCAGAGAGCGCTCAGGGGAGAATGCTCCCTTGCGCGCCCGCAGGACCGGCCACCCGGTGACACCAGGGCCAGCCACAGGGGCCACACTGGCGTACATACCGGGTCGCAGGGCAGCCGGGCCCCATGATGGGCTGGGCCCAGTCGCAGCCGCGACCCCAGTATGTACGCCACTGTCTTCATTGGTTTCTACTGCAATGGCTGCTCTTTTAGAAATATTTCCACATATAAACCCTTTATACACAACCCCGGTGTTCTATGTGTGCTTTGTTTTTGTAGAAAACACAATATTAATGCTTTACAAATTGGCCTAATCGTATAATTTGAATTTTCAGCATAATGGGTATTAATATTGTTACTTCGTGTTTTATTAGCATTATGCATATTAATTATCGTCTCTTGTACTAGATCACGATTCAGAGCAATGGAAAGTCAGAAGAAAGAGATGGAATTCCTGAGTAACAGCATTGCTGCATATGCTCACATAAGGGGTATGTATAACATCTGCAAGTGTACATGTTTTATCTATTATAAACTCGTAATCATATAATATATGGCATTATAAGCAAATACTTCTCTGTTAGGGTGATTTATATTATATGCTGTAATGCTCGAATAGATAAAAAAAAATGGACATAAGGAATTACAATATTTACAAGAATACTGGCTTAGAGAATAGTTTTATTATCTTAAAACTGTTAAGAGTGTTATAGATGTGATATAAACTAATGTCTCTAAAAGTGTGGTCCCTGCAGATATTATTGCAGTGCAACTTTCATAGTTCTGTTTCAGTCTGTGGTCAGCAGATGTACTTGTATTCTGGTAGGGGAGATAATTATTTACATCAAGCATGTCAAACTCAAAGGCTAGCACGGGCCACATAAACAAGGTTTAAGTTTATGTGGGCCGCAAAAAAAACAGTTTTAAAAAGTACAGTATAAAAAAATTTAAAAAAACACAGCATCCCCCTTTACTAAACCCCAGTCCCCCCCTGTACTAATTCACAGCCCTCCCTCTGTACTAAATCCCAGCACCCCCCCTATACTAAATCCCAGCACCCCTTCCATACTAAATCCCAGCACCCCCCTCTAGTAAACCCCAGCCCTTGTTTAAAAAAAAAACAAAATTAGCCAACAAGCAGACTCCACTCACATGCCGTTGCCAGTATACACACTCAGTGACAGACACACACATACTGACAGTCACAAACACACAGTGACAGACACACACAGTGACAGACACACACACTCACAGACACACACACTGACAGTCACAAACACACACACACTGACAGTCACACAAACACACAGTGACAGACGCACACAGTGACAGTCACACACACACACACACACACACACACAGTGACAGTCACACACACAGACAGATTCTCACACACACACAGTGACAGTCACACAAATGCCAAATATATTGCATACACAAAATATGTCGTCAATAGCTTTTTCAAATCCATCTCAAAATTTTGTGGATTATACAGCTTCTTGCTATATCAAAGTACTCGAATATATGTGAATTCTAACATAATTTGATACACTACACAAGAAACTTTACTGCTTAGAGGTCAGTCTAAACACCATCGCACAGTTCTCTGTAGTGGTCGTGGCACGAGGAGTTACCTTGTTCCCACGGTAAGCAATCAAACTTCTGCATTAGTGACTTCAGTTCTGCTTGTCTTTGGATAGAATTCATTGACTGAGAGTGTCAGCTGATGCTACACAAACACATTTATCCAAGTAGTGAAAACTGGTATGTTATGCTTTAACCCAATAAGGACACATGACATGTGTGACATGTCATAATTCCCTTTTATTCCAGAAGTTTGGTCCTTAAGAGGTTAAATAAATCTGAAGATGAGGTAGACCCAGGGCTGACTATTTGCTGTGGGATGGTGCGAGGGGGCTGTATAGAGTACTATAGTTTTTATGGTGCATAGACTGTCCCTTTGATTTACTCAACAAGAAAGATGCTTATGGTGCGAAAATGGGTAATGGTAATGGCATACCTGTATGTGGATGGCTGTGGTCCTTAACTCAGGGACCAAATTTAAAAAATAAATTAAATTGGAAGCACTACCTGGAATATGTATTGCTTAATAGGTGAAAAGATATTACAAACTGTTATTGAATACTCCATCAGTGTAATTGTGTAATATATATAATAGAACAATTGTGTAATAATATATATATATATATATATATATATATATATAACATTAAATATGTTTCTTTCTATTTCTAATTTTAGATAATCCAGAGTCTTTTGGTCTTTACTTTGTGCTCGGTGTCTGCTTTGGGCTGATATTAACACTCTGTCTGTTAGTAATCCGTATTTCCTGCAAGCCTCGGACTCCAAGTATACCATCCAAACCAAAGAAAACTCCTCCCAAGGACTGTGTGAAGGAGCCTCTCTCTCTAACAAGGGACGAAGAAGATCCAGAGAGTGATGACAATGATGAAACGTTCATCCTGAATCCAGTGACGGAAACATCTTTGGGAAACCAGTCTCCAGTGGATGGAACATTGACCATTAATGTGTTCACATCAGCAGAAGAACTGGAGAGAGCTCAAAGGTTGGAGGAGAGAGAGAGGATAATCCGGGAGATATGGCGCAATGGTCAGCCTGATATTTTGGGCACAGGTGCTGGCACTATAGGTCGCGTACACTACTACTGAATAACTATTTGAAACATTGCTTATGTGATGTTGGTGCTAAAACCCAAATAAAGAAGTCACAAACTGACCAGGAGACTAGTGCATAGCCATGGTATCCTGGCTATAAAAGGGCTGGCACTATGGACCCCACAGAGAACTGTGGGATATAACAACCTTGTATATTGGTATGATATTTGGATATAAAGCTCAGTGCCTAATCTGATATTCTGACAGACAGCAAGTGGTGATTAATAATATTAGGACATGGGGGCAGTTGTTCAGCTTAGATTCTTCTTTAATTTGTCCAGTGGTAGCTGGAATGGAGGTGTCAGGCAATTGCCTTTATTAGGCACAGAAATGAACCTCGCTGGTCCTATGTCCCAGAAGTTATATGTTCTATATCCCAGAAGATTATATTTAAGTGCAAAAAGGCACACATGCATCTATACTCCCAGTACGCATAGGTACCAAAACTGATGTGCCGTGAAGCCTTTTTATGAGACAGACAACATTGGATTGCTATATTATTATAACCAGAACATCTGTTATAATACAAGTTGCTGAAAAAGAATAAGATGTTCAATTCTGTATGTTTGCTATGGTTGGTTACTGATGTATGTTTATACGAAATCCAAATACGCATAACACACATGAGAGAAAATAGCTCTGAAATTAAGAGATGTAGCTCTAAATTCAATGTTGTGGTTTAGCTTTGGAATGTGATGTAACTTAATGTCACTGATCAAGTCATCGGAAATGAATGTAAACATGCTGGGTTTTGCTGAAATAATTAGGAATGCATTTGGTTAAGTGATGAAGAAAACATAATGACATATGACAAAATTATTGGATGTTTTGTTATTGTTTTTTTTTTTTAAACCACAAAGACACCCATGCATTAAAAAATAATGAATACAAGTTGGAGTATCCTGTAGGATGCCTTATATTGAAGATCTTTCCTGAATAAAAAAATACATGGGGTTGTCCAGTTAGGTTTCCTATAGATGTCAGTATATATAAAAATGCATTGAAGCGTAAGAGGGACATGACTTAGGTCCATACAGTTAGCTCAGTGCTAGTTTCTGATTGGCTGGCAGTTCAGAGGTAAGGTCACATTAATGCTCCTGCCTTCTAAGTAGATCTTTCTTGTTAATGAAATATTTTTTTTACATTTGGTGTCATGGCTCTTTTTTAATGCTTGTACAGGGCACTGTTTTTTATTTATTTGTATTTGAGTATATTTTCATTAAAAAAGGTGGGGGTGTCAACATCCTCAATAAAAAGCTGGATTTTGTAACAATAGCATAGTTTTTCCCTATTTTTTATTGCTTAATATTAAGTCAAGCCTAATAACCGTAAGAGGATAGGTATAGACATTCTAGTTATTCCCTGTTTGGTTGAGGGGGAGGGGAGATATTAGGTTGGATTTGTAAATAAATCTTCTGGCATCTTGAAATCAGGGTGCTGTATATTCCTTGTCCCTGTTAAGAGTTGGTCACCATATACACATCACCCTCCATGCCAGGCATAGAGTGATGTGGTATCACATTACCTTTCAGCCTAGCATAAGTAGTAGGATGAGTAAGCTACTCAATCAGTTTGCCTGTTAAACAGCAAGTCTAAGGGACCTCTATCCGATTTTCAGAGGAGGAATATATCTCCATGGGTCCTAGGAGTTTTGTTGAGATTAAGTTTTTTTTTTTTATTATATTGGACTATTTGTAGGTCCCCTCTTTTAACATGGTGGACTTTGTATCCGCAACACAATGTTGTTTTTTTGTGATATATTTGAAAGCATTTTAAAATATATTTTATGTGCATTTCTTTCAGTACTGCATTTATTTTTATTAAACTTAGGAGTGAGGTATTCGTCAGCCTTTCAATGGCTTCTGATTATTCCATTTGGCATTTTTATGTTCAGCAAGATGCAGAGATGGGAAAAAATCATTACTATGCTCCGTGTGCTATGTTTTAATGTGCACTTGTATTCCTAATACTTGCTAATACATCTGCAGTTTGGACTCTATTTCATGTGAGGAAAATACATTTTTAATTGGTCTTTGTATAAAAATGAAAAGCTGAGTGTTTAAATAGCAGACAACAATTCTAATCTTTTTCCTTTAGTCTTTTGTGCAATACTATAGACTCTAAGCCTGGTGTCTACAAGCGGTTAACACATGCACACATTTTGCTTCTCTGGCCCCCTCTATTTAAAAACATCTGTTTTTCTTCTTGTTCCCCTGGCAGTGTGGGAACACTGGTTCTTTAAATTTCATTCCTGAATTTCCCCTGGGGATAAAAAGAGAACATTCCACATGCACATTAAATTTTGCCACATGGGAAAATTCAGGAAGTGATGTTTTCTTACTTAAAGTTCAGATAAGTTTTCTTTCCAAGTTACTTCAATATCATATATTCCTTGAAGAGTCTTTTCTGTTTGGTTTTGCAGGGAGGAGGGGGATATTATGAAAGATGTATAATGAAGATTGGAATAACCGTCTTAGTCCAGTAGACAAAATGCCAAAATACCAGAGTATTGCAGTATGCAATAATACCTTTTTTATTTGACCAACATAAAACTTAAAAAACAAGCTTTCAAGTTTCCTCTCCCTCTCAGGTTTGTGTTATAAAAGGAGATTGAAGCAAATGTCATTTTTGTTCTGTTGTCTTTATGTGATAGCACAGGGTGTAGATATATATATCTATATATATGTGTGTATACATGTATACTTGAAGAGGAATGTGCGTTTATACAAAATCCAAATACGCATAACACACGAGAGAAAATAGCTCTGAATTTTATGTTGTGGTCAGCATTGGAATGTGATGTAACTTAATGTCACTGAGCAAGACGTGGAAGGTAAATGTAAACATGCTGGGTTTTGCTGAAATAACTGTAAATGTGTTTGGTATAATGATGAGTGGGTGGATTTAGTGCTGTCATAAGGAAAACATAATAACATATGACACAATTATTGGAAGTTTTGTTAATTCTAAAAAAAAACATATCTATCTATATATATATATGGATAGTCTCCATATGCAGCACCTACAATCATTTCAGTGATGGTTGCTGATATATTAGCCACTAAACTCAGGCAGCACTGGAGCATTGATGTCTTAGTGCTGCCCTTACTGTAAAGCCCTCGACTTAACACCTACACTAGCATAATACACTACACTAAACATTACCCCTACACTACCATAATATACTACACTAAACATTAACGCATACATTTCCTTAACTCTTTAACCCCTACAGTGCCATGATACACTAGTACACTAAACATTAACCCATACATAACATATTGCACATAAACCCATACACTCCTCTATGCTAGTGCTAATCTTTTGCTGCTACAGTACACTTACACTAAACATTAATTCCCACATTACACAACAACCCCTACACTACATTAAAACTAAATATTAACACCTTATGTACCCTAACACAAATCATTAAGTCCTACACTACCTTATAAAGTAATCCTTACATAAAAATAGCATGTAGTGTAAAATGTAAAAAAACAGCAACGTGTGTATTATAGGAAAATAATTATAGGAAAATCATGCCATTTCAAGGTTCTGGAAGCATTTATAATAACTCAACCATTGGTCTTGTTACTTACCATCATGTCTCCAGAACCTCTTGATGGCATTATCTTTCCATAGTGCGCAGTTCTCATATATATATTTTCTTTCTCTGTGTGATGATGACAGCTGTCAACTCTTGCTGTCTCCTACACATTGAAATAAAGTAACCCTCCTGTTAGTTGGATATGAACAGCATGTTGCTTTTCGTCTGGGTTTTGGGAGGAGGTGTGAGTTGTCTATGCGGATGTTATAGCGTCTTATGAAAGAAGATGAAAGCTTTATGCTCCAGTTCCTGTGTATTAAGAAGAGTTTAGAATCTATGTCCTAAGCTCCAGTTCCTGTGTATTAAGAAGAGTTTAGCATCTATGTCCTAATGGAGTTGTGTTGGGAAGAAATGAGAGGTACTAGCCCATATGTTGGGAGGAAATTGAAGTTTCTTCTAATGCTTTTGAGATGTTCTCCTAGCGCAGTTTTAAGGGGAATTGAGAGTTATATTGCCTGTATAAAGTGTGGCAATGTACATGATCTACTTTGTGCATATAAGATGATAACCAATCAGAAGCAGAGATTTTCTCTATGTTCATGTGCAATTTTGTAAAGAATGTTTTGTTACTAGAATTTTCCAAAAAATGTATTTTGTAGAATCTTATAATGAACTTTATGTCATAGTTTTATTATATATTTTTGAGGATCTATTAAAATTGTCTAAAACTCTTGTATAATGGTGTGTTTTGATTTAAATTCATCTGTGTGTGTGTGTGTGTGTGTGTGTGTGTGTGTGTGTGTATAACTATCTAAAATGTCTATCACTCACTCACAAGTTCCTTTTTACTCAAGACAACAGCCCAGGTGCCTTTTTACTCAAGTGAAATATATTTACAAACCCCCAAAAATCATCACCATTTCAGCCTTTAGGGTCTTTCTCAAGACCAAGACTAAGGTCTTGAAAAAGGCCCTAAAGGCCACAACGTTGACTATTTATGTAATTATTTTGAACATAACTTTATTGCAGAAACCGATGAGTATTTAGGTTTGTAAATATACATATATATATATATATATATATATATGTATAGTTAAAAAAAAAAACATTCTAATCCCTCCCTATTCTTTGTAGGTTGTACTGACATGGTAGAGTTAGCATTACATTCTTTTGATCCTTTGATTAAATGTTCAATATTAAATTAGGTAATATTACTGTTATCATGTTTTATTCATATAGTGTCAGAATAGCAGAGCCAAACCAGAGCTAAACACCTTGCAAAAAAGTTATAATGTAAATAAGATGGAAAAATCCAGTATTAATAAAACAATAGTGTAATGATTTAAAGAACAAATAATAGAGAGAGGTATAAATAGATTATGACTTTTCTTGGGTCTTTGTTTGGGCATATGTCAAATAATATGGTTCAAAATATAATAAAGTAGCAACCATATGATAAACGTTGTAGTTCCCATAATAACTGGTAGGATATTAATATAACGGATAATGGGTAGGGGTAGCAAATAGAACAGAAAACAAGAATTTATTAATGCTGATATATATACTATAAAAAAGGGAAGTCTTTTTCTTTCTCCCCCTCTGTATCACCTAAACTAGGTTGGGGAATAAATTTAACAATGTACTTAAACCCATGCTCTGCACCCCTTCTAAACCTCATAGGAGTATGTCCCCTGGAAAAACTGGAACTACGCACCTTAAAGGGGCTGAAAGTGTGCGTGTGAAGGAACATAGAAGCAATCTGAAAGACTCGACCCTGGGATATGCTTGTGGTTGTTTTTTTTCTTTCGGTTTGTGGCCTTCCCAATAGGCCAACAGAACCTACAGATCAACACAAATTATTTTGAAAAAGGGCAATGTTTATTAACTGTCAATGTATGTAAGGGGCCTGATTGTAAGAGGATAGAGTTATCCTGGAAGAAGCAAGAGGTTTCAAAGCAGATTTAGTATTTTTACAAGAGATCCACTTTCAATGTGATAAGCCTCCAGATATATCCTCGAAATGGTACCCCTTATACTTGATGCACAGAGCTTGGTCCTTTTCATTGAATGATAAGTACATATACGCACAAGGTAGGTTTATGTTTTTGAATTGTACCTTAAATAATGCTACATACACACTAGTAACCATTTATGCTCCCAACGAGTCACAAATCTCCTCATAACTGAATTTATTCGAATGTGCATAAATGTTTCTCTCAAATTGATTATATATTTATGAAAGCCACACCGCCAGAACAGGTTAAAAAAAGTTGATATTGGTGTGTGTTTTGGGCCAATTACATTGTAGGACTAAGGCCCAGTTTTGGCAAATATCTCAATAGGTAATTTTAGTACAGGACCAGAAAATTATGTATGAACGACTTGATTTTTAAAGACCAAGATTTTGGTAATTAATTAAAAGTAAAAAATTCAGAATACTTCCTTGATGTATGATCTGCCAATTTTAACTGAAACATTGTGGCTGGCACACAAAGCTGTTGTGAGAGGTTTCCTAATGCAAAAAGCAGCTAGATTAAAGTATCAGACTGCAACAATTTACAGACCAAGTAAACGTGGCTACTCAGCAATATATACAGAATTCAACATATCAATGCGGGTAAAACAAGAGCTGGAAGGAACTCTTCTCTATATGGACAAAAATACTACTCCAAAAGTAATAAGGAAGGTAATCTGTTGGCATATAAACTGTGGAAAAGACAGGCACAAACAAGGATACCATACATTCACACAGAACAGGGACATAAACTTTGCCACCCTACGGATATAGTAAACACAATGGATTAATTCTATTATAAACTGTATAATTTAAAAGTGGATAAATTAATGCATTCACCATTTAAATCTGAAATAGATTATTGTTTAAATTATCTTACAATACCCTGCCTAAATCAACAACAAGCCTACAGGTAGCCTTCACCCAGGAGGAAGTGGAAATCACAATAAAATCATTGAAACCAGGAAAACCAGGAGGGCCAAATAAGATTCTCTAACTCAATGCAATATTGTGCATTTAATGCCCAATTAAGCCCCTATTTGACACAACATTGTAATCATATTAAAATAATGGGGTCTATGACTCAAGAAATGTTGGCTTATGTCATTTTTTTTTACTGAAACAAGGGAAACCTGCAGATACTACTGCACATTTTGACTAATTTGAATGTAGATTCCAAATTATATGCCTGACTTATAGCTAATAGGATTAGATTAGATTTATTGCCAACTGTGATTGATAAAGACAAAGTAAGATTTATTGCAGGCAGACATGCCAGAGATAATACTCATTAGCTTATTGTTCTTACATATATAATTAAAGGACCACTATAGTGCCAGGAAAACACTCGTTTTCCTGGCACTATAGTGCCCTGAGGGTGCCCTCACCCTCAGGGTCCCCCTCCCGCCGGGCTGGATGGAGAGGAAGGGGTTAAACTTACCTCTTTCTCCAGCACCGGGCGGGGAGCTCTCCTCCTCTCCGCCTCCTCTCCTCCTCTTCGGCTGAATGCGCATGCGCGGCAAGAGCCGCACACGCATTCAGCCAGTCTCATAGGACAGCATTTACAATGCTTTCCTATGGACACTGGTGTCTTCTCACTGTGAAAATCACAGTGAGAAGTACGCAAGCGCCTCTAGCGGCTGTCAAGAGACAGCCACTAGAGGCTGGATTAACCCTAACATAAACATAGCAGTTTCTCTGAAACTGCCATGTTTATAGAAAAAAGGGTTAACCCTAGCTGGACCTGGCACCCAGACCACTTCATTAAGCTGAAGTGGTCTGGGTGCCTATAGTGGTCCTTTAATAGAGATAAAATGGTTGAAAGCTTCATAAGTTGAAAGCTTGTGACAGGCTGCATTGGCAATTCATGGCTAAAGTTCTTAAAAAAATTGGTTTGTCAAAGTTTGACAATTCTTTATTAGCTTGGTACTCCAGGCCCTCAGCTTAAGTCTTTAAGCTTCAACTCCACAAAATTTAAAATAACAAATGGGACCAAAGATGGGTGACCACTTTCACCTGTCATTTTTATCATGGCTTTAGAACCATTAGCAAGTAAAATAAGTGGAAATGTACAGATTACAGGGATCCATAGTGATACACGAGTTTCTTATGGTAAAAATAATATCAGCAAAACAAGTTCTTCTACCCCCCTCCCTCACCATCACCCCCCACCTCATAACTAACCCCCTCCCTCACCATCAACCTCCCTCCTACACCATCACCCCCCCTCACCATCAACCCCCCTCCCTCAACATCACCCCCCTCATCAACCCCCTGACCATCAACCCCCCATCAAAATCAATGGGGTTGATGGTGAGCTCCCTCTCACCATCAACCCCACGTCATCACCTCCCTCTCCCTCGCTCTCACCATCACCCCCACACCATCACCGCCCTCTCCCTCTCTCTCACCATCACCCCATCTACCTCTCACCATCACCTCCCTCTCCCCTCACCATCAATCCCCCTCACCATCAACCCCCTCTCTCACACCTCTCACACACAAAGTATCACCCCCTCACACACACAGCCTCCCCAGACACACTGTTAGCATCTCCTCACATTGTCACCCCTCCCTACACTGTCATCACCCCCCACACTGTCAGCCTCTTCATGCATCCACACTCACATTAACCACTCCTAATCCTGTTAATCTCACCCCCTCCAAACTCACCTGCCCTCACTCTGCAACTCACTCTGTCACATTAACCCCCCTTAATCCTGTCACACTCGTCCCTCCTACATGCCACAATTGCCCTGACACACTTACTTCCACTGGCCCTGTCACACTCCCTTATCAAACCATGTCATACTCCATGTCCCTCATTCTCTCTCTCAACCCCCCCAGTCCATTTACCCCCTTTGCCCTGTCACACTCTCCCTGCCACTGTTACCCCTTTACTCACCATGTCACAGTCACCAGCTGAAGACATTTGTCATACACACACAGTCAGGAAACATAGCTTTGCCATAAACACAATGCACAAAGGCTACAGGTAGTCCCCCATACACACAACACACTTCAAGCAGCTACCCCATACACATAGGGTCCCAGACAAAAACGCAAACATGCTCACAGAGACATACGTTCACACACAAGGATACTCTCTGTCAGACACACTTTCAGGTACATACACAGGTAAACTGTGCATCAATGTGTATATGTGAAAGTGTATTGCAACTCTTTTTCACTTTCTTGTTAGTGGGGCCTCATGTTTGAGTTTCGCCTAAGGCCTCATAAAGTCTAGAGCCACTTCTGCCTGTGGGACACCACTTACCACCTCTGTCCAGCTTGAAAATGTACCATTTATGACAACTCTCTATACTCTATTTTTACGCCTAAGTTCTACCCAAGAACAAGAATTTTCATCTAGACCAATTTTTTTGAGTTTGAACACTAATCTATTGTGTGGAACTGTATCAAATGCCTTGGCAAAATCCAAATACATCACACCCACTGCAACACTATGATCTATACTTCTACTTACTTCTTCGTAGAATTCTATTAAGTTAGTTTGACATGACCTATACTTCATAAAGCCATGCTGATTTTTGCTGATAACTACGTTCTTCTCAATTAATTCTTGAATATTATCCCTTATTAACCTTTTTAAATACCTTCCCAGCCATAGAAGTTAAGCTCACTGGTCTATAATTTCCAGGCAAGGAGTTTGAACCCTTTTTGAATATAGGAACCACATCTGCCTTCCTCTAATTCTCTGGTAC